CAACTCCCAGAATTCCCTAGCCAGCCATGCTGGCTGGGGAATTCTGGGAGTTGAAGTCCATACATCTTAGAGATGCAAGGTTGAGAAACACTGGGCTAGATAAACCAAATATTTTGAGGTGGGATATTTTTTTTTTTCTTTACTCTCTCCTCTGCATGCAGAAACACATCCAAAGGAGCACATCATGGATGGGATCTTGGCTTTGAGCTTGCCTTTGCTAAACTAAAGTGCTTGTGTGAAATACCAAGACAGAGGCAAGTCAAATTATAGAATGTCGATACTCAGTAATAACTGACTTTTCCTCTCACAAAAGGGATACTGAGTGATTAACATACAGTGAGTGTTTTTACATAAACATTTTTAATAAACCAGTGAGCAAGAAAATACCGCAGGAGCCCATGTTGCTTCTATCACAAGAGCTGAATTTCCTCAGATCCTCCCCATGAATGAGGAGCGCAGTGATCAACAGTGCAGTGATTGACACAAACCAAGAAGGAACTATGGTGCAGAAATACGTTTCCTTGAAAAATGTGAAGTAATGAAGGCAGTTTATATAAACACGTCAAATATCACTACATCCCAGATGATACAAATGAATGCTATGTCCTAATGGCTGGCTGTGGCAAAGGACTTAGAACACCACTGAGAGAGGCAGTGGTTACACTAATTATTATTAAAACTTGTGTAATCATTAGGGAGCTAGGAGAGAACCATGAGCCAGAGTTCAAAAACTAGATTTACCTGGAAACTTCAAAACTCACTCTAGTTTTGCCTTTTTGTTTATTTAGAAGCTTTAAAATAAATGTGTTTTATTAAGCTGGTTGAATTACATTGCACATGGTGCAATTAAATAACACAGGATTTCTAAATATGGACAGGCATGCTTGGTATTTTAGCAAAGCAAGCACTTACACTATGGGTAATGATGTTATTTTGAAAACAGCTTGTAAGGAGCTTAGGTGCAAGATTTTAATCATTGTAAAGAACATCTGCTAACAGGTTCAGTGGCATTAATTCAATTAAATCTGTATATTTTATTAATATTGTAAGCATCAAATAGGTCCACAAGTATCATTTATTCTAAATTCTGGAAATAAAATTAATCTTTTGGGAGGAAATCATGAACATAATTTGAAAAATGAGGTATTTAGGAATTCTCATTTTTCTTTCCCAAACTTTTATTAACGTTTGTTACCTCATTTTCACACCTTTAAAAACTGATTTTCTTAAAAACAATTATGTGTAGATAGTCTATGACAAGCTCTATAGCTGCACACATGTAGCTTGAGGTGTGCGTGTTGTCTACCTCAAATGAGCAATATACATCAATGCTGAAAAGCACTTCAGAGCAAAAATCTGTCTTAAAATTATTAAGAAAAGTGACTAGCAGTGATTTCACAGTCATGGAAACTTAAGAGAAAAGCAGCAGTACCCTTACAGTGAAATTTTATACAAGCCTATTCAGAAGTGAAGTCCCACTGAGGTCAGTGGGCCTATCTCCAAGGTAAGTGGCAAAGGATTGTACAGTCTATTTTCTAATACTGCTAAGAACAAACTGTTTTACCAACAAATAAAGAACCCAAGACACTTTAATTAATTATTATATTTTCTGCATTATAGTTTAACATACATACTTTCCTTGTGTCACCCTTATTTTCATTAAGTGTTGATATTTTGTAATATTCAGACAGGAATACATTTTTGGAACAGTTCTTTATAATAAATATCATAAAATAATAGAGATTCACATAATAAATATTCTTTACAATAAAAAAGTTTTAACAGACCTTTGTCTTAAAAATAGTCAGAATTCAACTTTGTGTTTTTACATAAAATATACAAAAAGCACCACAATATGTGGTTAAGGCAATAAAAATAGAGGAGGAAAATTACTGAGGGTGAGAGTTAACTTTTTAAGCCACAGAAATAGAAGTGTTAAGAGATCAAAGAATGTTTATACAACTTAAACTGTATTAAAACCTGTATTACTCAGATGTGGAGAAACCAACAACTTTAGTATCAAAATAAAAGTGATACATAGGGCTGTGTGTGTGTGTGTGTGTGTGTGTG